ACATGGTGACGTGTTCAATACTTATTTTACCTGCTGTAAAACATGTCAAACATGTGAAACATTTGAAACATGTGAAACATGTAAAACATGTGGAACATGTGAAACATGTGAAACATGTAAAACATGTCAAACATGTCAAACATGTGAAACATTTGGAACATGTGAAACATGTAAAACATGTGGAACATGTGAAACATGTAAAACATGTGGAACATGTGAAACAGGTAAAACATGTGAAACATGTGAAACATATAAAACATGTGAAACTTGCGAAACATGTAAAACATGTGGAACATGTGAAACATGTGAAACATATAAAACATGTAAAACATGTCAAACATGTGAAACATTTGAAACATGTGAAACATGTAAAACGTAAAACATGTCAAACATGTGAAACATTTGGAACATGTGAAACATGTAAAACACGTGGAACATGTGAAACAGGTAAAACATGTGAAACATATAAAACATGTGAAACTTGTGAAACATGTAAAACAAGTAAACCATGTGAAACATGTGAAACATATAAAACATGTGAAACATGTAAAACATGTGAAACATGTGGAACATGTGAAACATGTAAAATATGTGAAACATGTGAAACATATAAAACATGTGAAACATGTAAAATATGTGGAACATGTAAAACATGTGAAACATGTGGAACATGTGAAACATTTGACACATGTGAAACATATAAAACATGTGAAACATGTAAAACATGTGGAACATGTAAAACATGTAAAACATGTGAAACATGTGAAACATGTAAAACGTGAAACATGTGAAACATGTAAAACATGTGAAACATATAAAACATGTAAAACATGTGAAACATGTAAAACATGTGAAACGTGAAACATGTAAAACATGTGAAACATGGAAAAACAACATGTGAAACATGTAAAACATGTAAAACATGTGAAACATGTAAAACATGTGAAACGTGGAACATGTGAAACATGTAAAACATTTGAAACATGTAAAACATGTGAAGCATGTGAAACATGTGAAACATGTGAAACGTAAAACATGTAAAACATGTAAAACATGTGACACATGTAAAACATGTGAAACGTGAAACATGTAAAACTTGTAAAACATGTGAAACGTGAAACATGTGAAACATGTGAAACATGTGAAACATGTAAAACGTGTGAAACATGTAAAACGTGTGAAACATGTAAAACATGTGAAACATGTGAAACATGTAAAACATGTAAAACATGTGAAACATGTGAAATGTTCAGATTTGTTATGTAAAAGAATCAGCTGATCCTGCTGCACATTCTAATGATTCAATGAATCATCGTAAATCTTAGAAAATGTGTCAAAAATAGAATCTGTTCAAACTGGGTCTGGGTCCAGTTAGAACTTTGAGTCTTGACCATGTTGGGACTCCGGCTCTAAAAGGTCAGAACCTGTGGTTCTTTAGGATCTGGTTCCAGAACTCCAGGTTCTGATCCTCTCAGCAACGTACCAACTTTTCTCCTCCTGAGGACGAGTGTCGGGTCATTGAAGAGCTGCTCCTCATCCTCAGCGCTGATCACCTGTCAAAACCCAACCTGTTAGCACCTGACAGGAAGGAGGAGGGGCCTACAGCAGGTGAAGCAGGAGGAGGAGGGGCCTACAGCAGGTGAAGGAGGAGGAGGAGGGGTCTAAAGCAGGTGAAGAAGGAGGAGGGGCCTACAGCAGATGAAAAAGGAGGAGGGGCCTAAAGCAGGCGAACAAGGAGGAGGGGCCTAAAGCACAAGAAGGAGGAGGAGGAGGAGTCTAAAGCAGGTTAAGCCGGAGGAGGGGCTCATAGCAGGTGAAGCAGGAGGAGGAGTACCTGGCACTGACGGAGGTAAGGTGTGATCCTGGACGGGTCGATGGTTTTAATCAACAACATCCTGAAATCATCGAGCTGCAGCCAGCAGAGATCATCTTCACACACCCCTTCCATCAGGCTGCAGTACACAGGAGTACACATGAAATACACAGTAATACATACAAAAAACACTAATACACAGTAAAACACTGAAATTCACAGAAATACACATGAAATACACAGGAATACATAGGAAAAACACAATAATACACACAGTAATACACATGAAATACACAGTAATACACTCAGTTGTACACACAGTATCCAAAGAACTTCATAAAGTAACAAATATTTAATAATTAATGAGCTTGTTTATTTTGATCACATATTAAATTTAAACAAATTACTTCAACAAAAAAGCTGAAGTTTATTTACATCCATGTCAAACTCACACAGAAAAAATGTGTCGTAAATAATTTGACTTTACAATATAACCTAAAATTAACCTGGTTTAAGTTTGTAAATATAATTAGTTTTAATATAACTGAGTCTTTCAATAATCTGACTTCTAGATCTGAAATAATATAGTTAATAATATAATTAATAATATAACTTATGTCAACAGTTTTAATCTTATAACTCAGAATTGATGGTTTTATAACCACAGTAACCATGAAGTTTACAGACCTGTAATAAATTAAAATGTTTTATGTTTTCTTCTACCTGCTCTGTTTTAAAGTTTAAATTTCTATTTATATTATTTTATTTACATTTTCCAACCTTTCAACACAATCAAACTTAAAGCAGAGGATCTACAC